ACCGTCATCATGGGGAAACCACGGGCAAGTGCCAAATTCCCAATATCACTCACCACCAAGCTAACCTCCCGTAGATGATTATACTGGTTCGCCACGCCCAATCCGAAGGCAACAAAAACCGCGACATCCACCAATTCATCCCCGACCACCGCGTCAAACTGACCCCCGATGGCCAACAACAAGCCGAAGAGGCTGGCCGCCGCCTTCGCTCCATGCTCCGCCCAGACGATACCCTCCAGTTCTTCACCTCCCCCTACAGACGTACTCGTGAGACCACCGAAGGCATCCTCAAGTCCCTCACCAGCGACGAGCCGACCCCTTCGCCGTACCCTCGTCATACTATCAAGGTGTGGGAAGAGCCGAGATTGAGGGAGCAAGACTTTGGCAACTTTCAACCTTGTAGCGTCGAGATGGAGAGGATGTGGCAAGAGCGTGCTGATTATGGACACTTCTTCTACAGAATACCCAATGGAGAAAGTGCTGCGGATGCATACGATAGGGTCAGTGGCTTCAATGAGAGTCTATGGCGGAGCTTTTCAGAGAACGACTTCCCGAGCGTTTGTGTTCTTGTGACGCATGGGTTGATGTCGAGGGTCTTCTTGATGAAATGGTATGTGTACTCTTATCTAGGTTATGTTGCAAGTCTTGGACGTGATGCTAATTCCCCTCAAGGTACCACTGGTCCGTCGAATACTTTGAAGATCTCCGCAACGTAAACCACTGCGAATTTATAGTGATGAAACGTCGCGAGGACAACGGGAAATTCATCCTCCAAAACCAGCTGCGGACATGGTCGGATCTCAAGAAGCGAGCTGCTGCAACCGGTGCTCCCGCGAAATCTCTCCCAGATCCAACCGCTGCATCGAATGTTCCCATTCGGCGCTGGGGTGGTTGCGCCAATGGATGTGACCACGATAAGGTCAATTTTCCTAGGCGGACGAAGCGACAGAATACGAACGATTTCCAATCGAATCCGCCTGTAGCCAAGGCAATCGCGGAAGCGGAGAAGAAAGAGAAAGAAAAGGAGGACAGCCCCCTGGCCGCTCATGATGCCTCATCATCTTTGAGCGCCATGCCTCCAACTTCCAATCCCACGAAACCACCACCCCGTGCTGGCTCGGTCACAACATCTACCTCGCAGGAGCCTTCGATTCTGACCCCGCCTTCAAGCACCACCACAGCAGTCATCCGCTCAGACGATTCAAATGATGCTTCCGAGGAAGACGACGAAGCTTTCCCTCACCAGCACCACATTTCCCCCAACAAACCCAAAAAGACTCGCCCGAACCTCCTCAGTGTCCGCGGCCGAGACGGCGGCGGCTCCCAATCAGGCATGGGCACACCCTTCGCTGGAAACTCGGACGATTCAGACTTCTTCTCTCCGCCGCCGCAGTCCATGAAAGACTTGCGCGACAGCAAAGGTCAGGGGCTGCCCATACGAACGCGAGGAGCTGCCTCCAGCGCCAGCAAGAAGATCCAAGCCATCCAATCCGGCGCTACGACCACGGCCGAGGACAAGGGTAACTGGGCCCAGGAGAGCGGCATGGGCAGCGGAGCTTACGCGGATAGACTGGGAGATAATCGGCCCTGTGAAGATGGAGAGAGCGGGGGAGGCGGGTATGAGAAACGCAGAGGGGATGGCAGGATTGAGGAGGAGGATGAGATGTCGCATGATGAGGGTAGGGATGGAGTGGTGCAGGGAGGACGTGTGGTGGCTAAAGGCCCGCAGATCTTGGATGAGGTGGTGGATAAGATGAAGGAGAGGGATAGGAAGAGTTTCCGCGAAGTGTATTGAGGGGTGCGCCCAGGGAGCTTTTGGAACTTTGTTTATTTGTAGATGATATCCAATGCTTTTTTAAGCTTGGAAAGCCCGGCAGAAGATGGTCGTCTCTTCGTAGAGCAGGCAGAGCAGAACCATCAGAGAGCACTTTTATGTAGTAGCAGCAAAAGACATAAACTTGCCAGTGATACTGTATCGTTTTATCAGTGAAACGGAACAGTAAATTGGGGAGCGTACGGGTCAGATAACATTCGCATGCAAATTTGGGAGTCATAGTGGCTGGATCTTTTCCTCTTCATCTTGCAAGTTTGGTTTTACTTCCTCGAGCTTCAAGTTCTGACCTAACTGCCGTTTGCTCGCAACTCTAGCAAGCCAAGTTCGGAAAATCGATAGGCGTCAATAATCAGCGGGACAGAGAGATCTGAACGGGGGAATAAATTTTTCTGGAAAGGACGGTGAAAAGAGTGAAATGTCCAAGGACTGAGTATATGCATAACGTTAAACGGGGCAGTCAGTCTATTTCGCAAGATACTCCTCGAGTCAGCTCGACTATTTGTTTTTATACCTGAAGCGTGCCTCCTTATGAAATAGAAGAGAAGAAGATTCAGAAACACAACAACACCAACTTATTGGGGTACGTGAAGAGCTTAGGTTAGCGGAAGAGGTCATCGTCCATACATCGATAGATACCGGAGGCACGGCGAAGGATTGGAGTGTGATCTAGATCCCAACAATTTCGATATCTCAAGCGTCGGTAGAATCTTCTTGTCGTGTCTGGCTCTCATATTCAATTCGATGGTACAAGGGTGAAAATTGTTCTGTATATCTGGATTGGAGTAGTAGTATAACTCTCCTTTTCGGAGCCTTTGATGTAACGTTGGATACGAAGGGAGAGAGAGAAATGGTGGGTGGGAAGATGAAAAGTACCTTATCTTGGTAAAGATATTCGAGTAACTTATAAGTAAGTCATGTGTGGAACTAAGCTTCTTCTTCCATAACACAAGGACGAATTTGTGCGAGATGCTAGAAACTTACGTGAAATGGAACACTGAAGCCTTGCCATCTGGCTGAACCCTGCGATCCTGGAGACCCCTGAGAGCAATCCAACAGCCTTTGTCTTTCTTCGTGTTCGAGTGATGCCTTTGAACAAAACGGTACTTGTTCCAGCTGCGACCAAAAGACTACATAGACATAATAACAAGGAGGGAGTCAAGTGAAGCAAAAAAACATCTGTAGGAAGCGCTTTACCTGGGCATCAGCCAACAACAAAAAAAACGTACAGAACGATCCATCACCATCCTCTAGCATATTATGCTTCCCTCAACACCTCATCCCTGATAACATCCCGCACTGTGTCCATAATCGTTCCTGCCACCGCGCCCATTACAGTACCCCGGCACGAAAATCTTCCCGACCCTCCCCCTCAAAATCCTTTCCATTTCCTTCCCTCCAAATTGCCGACGGAGGTTGTTCAGATACCTGTTCTCGGCGAAGCAGGTGCGGCAAGGGCCATTGAGCTCAATGTCAGCAGGCACCACAATGGACGAGTCTCCCGGTGGGTACGCTGGCACGTCCCTTTCAGAACATGTAATCTCGTGCTCAGATAGCGAGGTAGCTGTGAAGACTCTAAGAGGATGTTGAGCATAACACCTTCGTGCCCAACCTGAACGAGGTCCCGACATGATCAGATAGCGAGAATCCGGGTGCACAGCGATCTTGCGGCAGCGTGTGCAAGACAATGGCCAAGTACTGTGACCGGACGCCGGGTCAATCCATGGCGCAAAGACCGTGATTGCAAACGTATACGAGGTAAATGATATGGAGGCGAAGACTCTTGGGGGAACTGCTCGTCGGAGGAATCGTTCGAAGTGTCTTTGACGCCGATCTTTTGGGCAGCGGAATTTGGGCGTGGTGTGGGGTCTGGTACTCAACACCGTCCATGATTTTCTTCGGCTCTCATACACGGCTTCATGTAGTTGCTCCGGGGTGTCATGGAGATTCATCGACGTCTGTTCAGCGATGGACAAGTCAGCAAGCACCGGCTCCATATACTCCTCGGCATCGAAAGGAGTTTTGTATTCGGGCGGTACGGTTCCGGGAAGTGGAGTATAGGTCGGGACTTGCGAGATGGTTGAGTCGTCAAACCCCAACTTCTCCATCAGCTCTGCTTCTTCGTTGATGTTGATGCCTCGATACTTTGACCTCATAAGTTGACGATTAGGGATCCTATCGGAGTCAGATGCCAGACAGAAGAAGCAGGTCCGCTTGCACAAGGGAAGATAGATGAATCCGGCGTTTTCATTGCATTCGCTGCATTTGGTTGAGCAAAGTGCGGTATAGAGCTCGCGGCAGGTCATCGTAGTACATTTGGTTCCAAGGGCGGTTCGAAGGACAACTGGGGCCGCGGTGATGATGGTCTTGTACTCTGGTATCTGGTCCACCACGGAGAGGGCAAGGCGGTTCTGCGACCGGAAGGCATACAGAGCTGCCAGATCGATATCGAGGAGAATCTCGGTAAGGAGCTCCACGGGTAGTTTGTCAAGTTCTCCAAGGTCTGCTTCAAAAGGGAGGGTACTATGTGTGGTGCTCAAGGGTATGGCACGGGCGAGGACATCGTGGTCGATAGGGACATTGAAGAAATCCTCATTGATATAAGACAATGGTTTTTCTGGGGATGACATTCTCTTTTTTTTTCCGGGCGATGGTTTTGGAGAGCAATGAGAGAATAAGACAGAAGCGGAGCGGTATGAAAATAGGACATACATATCCATATATATGTCCATGTCCCAATCACGAATGAGGGAGGGCGCCTCCATTTGATGCGAAGAGGGTGCTCTTTGGTCTGCATCCATGCCACTTCTTGCTGTGCCGCAAATGACAAGCAGGATTCCGCCTTTTGGTCGCACTCTCACAAAGCACCCTCTAGAGATCTGGATTAGAGAGTACCTGCTGTCATTGGGCACGAACGTAGTTTTTGGGGATTCAACAGTCGTCTAGCTTCAGTGCCACCCAGAAATGTGGATGCATGATGCATTGTGGAGGAGAAGACGAGTTGAAGTTGAAGTCCCGAGATGTTCGAGCTCCCCAGCGCTGGGGCTGGGCTGGCACTGCGATGCGATGATAAACGTCAAAAATCGAACCGCAATCGCGCCCACCCCTCCTCTTTTACAAAACGTACGAAAATTTTTTCAACAAAACTTCAAAAACTGGCAAAAAAAATCTCCACCGGGAGGGCTCGAACCTCCAACCTCCCGGTTAACACGTAATATGTTAACAGCCGGACGCGCTAGCCAATTGCGCCACGGTGGAGGATTGATTGTTGGGCTCCTGGCGTTTTGGCCAACTTATAATGCATATGAACTTCCGAGTCATTTCTCGGCCAAAGTGGGACTTGTGCTCCGGTGCTCCGGCTTCGGGGGACCTTTGCTGGTGTGCTGGGGGGTTTCGCGGAGTAAGGTACGTCATGTCAATTTTGTATTGCACAGGTTGTGCGCGCTGGAAGCCCCGAATCTAGTATAAAAATAGATCTTTAGCCGAGGATTTGCGCGTCGAGTCTGGAATTCAAGCAATTTTAGAAGAGTATCGTGGAGTCATTCTATTATTGAGCGGCGAGGAACAAACATGGAGCAAAATTGGGATGCTGGGGCTATGAAATGATTTGAATGATGCTTTACAAGACTTCCTATCTGCTCAACTGTTCCTTAGCTTGTTGCGAGTAGGCGTAGAATCGTCGGGTCGTGGCTTTTCTCTCTCCGAAATTCAGTTCTACGGTATCAGTCTCCATTTTGAAGCTGTTTTCGGTTGGCAACAACAATTCCATGCAGCCAAGGGTGCACTTTCTTTCAACCCCTTTCCCAAAGCGCTCGCCGCAAGGGAGACATAATATACCTTCTGCCGGATTGCTGAGCATTATGCCATTTTGTCTATCCGAATGCCGATTCTCACTTCCAAGAGTTTCACTAAGCCATATATCTTATGGACCTCGTATCTCGATGCTCACTCCTCCTTCCTCAAAGAATTATAATGCTCCCCAAGCCCAAATCCATGCCGGTAATACGCCAACCACATCCCCTTCCTCTTCTCCTCCTCCTCCTCCCCATCCGTTCCCTCAATCTTTTCTACCCTCCCCTCCCCTTGCAACACATTGATATCCACACCATAGCTCTTCGCCAACGCCATCAACTCCAACTGTCCACCCCATTCCCCCGTATCTCTAATCTTCTTGACGTACACATCCAGCGGCTCCTCCAAAAAGGGGGCAAAATCATCCGGATGTCTAGAAATGTAGTCCGCCGCAGCTCTCCGCGTAACTTTGTAACTCGGCAACGCTTGCTCATCTGTGTCTTGATCACCATCCTCTGCCGCAGCTATGACTTTCGCCGTGATCTTAGGTTTCAACCCCAGACCCAGCTCTTTCAGTTGATCTGCCACCGCCGAGTATAGACAATGTCCATCTGCTCTTATTTCCTGCTCTCGCAGTCCTCTCGTGCGGAACTCCACGGACATCTTCTCGCGCTCCATCTCGCGACGATTTGGCATGTTTGCTGCTTCTTTCTCTGCTTCTGCGGCGGCCTCCTCCTGCTCTTGCGCTCTTCGCGCTAAGCGAGCTTTTTGGCGATTGGGCTTTCTTTGTGATGATGGGGATGTGGGGTCTAAAGTGCCGTTTGTGAGAGGTGCTGAGGGTTCTGATATTGATGTGTCTTTGAGGGAGTCGGAGATGCGGTTTACGTCGTCGCTGGCTGTTTGTGTTGGCTCTGCAGAGGTGATTCCACTCTCAGCCGGAGCTTCGTCTCCTTCTTCGGCTTCCCCGTTGAATGCGGCGAATTCTTGGTTTTGCCTCTCCTTGAGTTCCCGCTCTAACTGCTCGCACTCGTCGTTGATTCCTTTGCGGGTCTTTTTCGTGGCGGCTTTCTTCTTTTGCGTGGTGCGACCTACTAGATCTCGTTGCTCTTTGCGGTGTCTGGCTTGTAGCTCTTCCATGAGTTCAAATTTCGCAAGAGCGAGTAGGAGGTGGTAGACTCTCATTCGGTTTGCGACGGTATTGTTTCCAGTCCGAGCGCTCGAGAAATGTGACGTGGGGCTTTCAGCCCTACGCAACGGCTTTTGTGGGGGATCGGTGACGACCGAGTGACCGACCGAGGCATCTCCACACTCAATCCCATACCCATGCACCACATAGCCATGTAGCCATTCCTACTAATCCACGGTTGCTTCATCGTGTACATATTCAATCCTCCGAGAAGTCTCCTTCTATTGTGTGAAGCTTCGATCCGCCAATCATGGACTCCTCATCCCTCTTCGACGTAAAGGTATTACTTTCCACTCCGTCCTCAGCAGCCGTCTCTTCAAGTTCTTCAAACGCATGAGCACGAGACTTGTACACTCTCTCCTCTTACCAAATTACATTCTCATGACAATCCCAAAAACCCAACTAAACCCTCCCCCAGGGCAAAGTCGTCCTGGTAACCGGCGGCGCCAAAGGAATCGGCCGCATGATCTCCGAAGGCTTCGTCGCAAACGGCGCCCACGTCTACATCTCCTCCCGCGACGCCTCCGCCTGCCAAACCGCCTGCGACGAGCTCAACGCCCTCGGCAAGGGTAAGGCCTCCTACATCGCCGCCGACTTCTACGACGAGAAAGCCGTCAAGAACCTAGCCGTCGAACTGGCGAAAAAAGAGTCGAAACTCCATGTTCTCGTCAACAATAGCGGCAGCAATTGGGGCGCGCCATTCGATTCATATCCTGATAGCGCGTGGACAAGGGTCTTGACGCTGAATCTGACGAGGGTGTTTACGATTACGCAGGCGCTGACGCCGTTGATGGAGGCGGCGTCGAGGGAGGGGGATCCGGCGAGGATCATCAATATCGGCTCCGTCGACGGTCTTCGCGTCCCGCATCTCGAGACGTTTGCGTATTCATCGTCGAAGGCTGGACTGCACCATCTGTCTCGCGTGCTGGCGAATCATCTGGGAAAGAGGGGGATCACGAGCAACGTTCTGGCTTGCGGGCCATTCGAGAGTAAGATGATGAAGAAAACGTTGGAGGATTTTGGAGACAGCATTAAGGCTGGGATTCCGCTGGGGAGGATTGGGAAGCCGCAGGATGTGGCGGGCGCGTGTTTGTTTCTTTCCAGTGCGGCGGGTGCGTATGTCAATGGTGCTACGATTGCTCTGGACGGAGGCAGTGTGATAGGAAGTAAACTGTAAGATATTGCTGGAAATGGATTGTTCTGGCTTTACTCTCGAAATCTTATTCAGGGGCTGAGCGAAACGTTCGGTAGGAGAACTTTGACGAGTGGTTGCCAATGGAGGAAGACCACAAAAGCGATTCAAAGCATACGTGGTAAGTTTCCCCTAAGAATTAAGACAACTGGAAAACCGAATATCACTGCCTTTTTGGCGTATCCAAAAGCCTGCTTTGCTGTCTACATCTCATACGACTATTGATTCTCAGAGCCTATTTTCTCTTGAATTCATTTTCCTCCATACTTTTCTGATCACAGTCCATCCATCAGATGATGTCAAACCAGTTGGGCTTTCGATTTCTCTCCAGCCTTCAAGTTGGGGTCCTTACGGCTCAATCTTGCAATGGGATGGCCGGCTTGCCGTGACCATTCCTGCGTGTCCAGGACCTACAGGAACTTGCTGTTCATACACTATACAATCACTATGTCTTAGTGTCTATCTGCGATTAAATACCCATACCTTCCTCCATACTTTTCAAAGTACAATTCATCCACCACAGAGCAAATGAATTGAGACTTGCTACTTCTTCTACGATTCCCGCAAAGTAGATAACCGATTTCTCTCTACCCTTGGGTTCTCTCTCGCTCCATTATGCAATTAGATGGCCGATTTGTTCTATTCCTACGTGTCCAGAACCGTAGTCTGATGTTCATACATTGTACGAGTATTGTTTCTTAGCCTCCATCTTTCACGATACGTATCTTCCTCCGCACTTTCTAAAGTACAAGCTAGCCGCTGGATGGCCATTAAATCGAGACGTTGTACTTCTGCTATACTTTCCGTCCGTTGGAAACTCGGATTTTCCCCGCCCTTAGGATTCCTATCGCTCAATCCGCAGTTGGATAACTGATTTGTTTTCTTTTTGCGTATCCAGAACCGTAGTCTGATGTCTATACATTGTATGAGTATTGCTTCTAAACTTCTACCTTATCTTCTACTATACGTACCTAGGTATCTTGCTCTACACTTTCCAGAGTACAATCTATCCACTGGAGAGCTAAGAATTCGAGACGGTATACTTCCACTACGCTTTCCGTCTATCGGATACTCGATTTCCCCGCCCTTAAGATTGCTGTCGCTCGATCCTGTAGTTGAATAGCCGATTTCCACCGTTTCTGTACGTCCAACACCTTATCTTGTTGTTTACATATTGCATAATCACTGATGGTTTTGCGTCTATCGGTGTCTAGTCTGCTCGGAAGTGTGTCTTCATGAGCTGGAACGAAAAAGCCTCTATTTTCCTGTGGGCTTGGATTTTTTACACTTGTCCGAAGGGGTTTGAAGGAAGTTCCTAGTTGAGATTGGTAGAGTATTAGGTATTGCATACTGACGCTAAGACGTCTGGAATTGCGAGATTATTGCAGTGCAGGAATTAGGTAGGTAGGTATGGAGTGTTGAAAACTGAACAAACAGGCGATTATCGCATGAGTATCTCGAGTCCCATAAGCTAGAAACATGATGCATTTAAGAGTATATGATTTCTGTAGTGTTTTACTAGCAGAAGATACCTCTACGGATGTAGATTAGATGCGAGACTCGGGTCAAGATACATAAGTTTCAAAAGAGATAATTTGAATAGCAAGTTACTAATAAGCAGTCATCTCACGGATGCAGGTTAGATGCGTGACTTGGGAATTGAGTTGGAAATTCTAAGGTGTTTTACCCCTCCTTTCCATACTCTTACCTGTGGCGCCCAAGGACCAAGGGATTTTGATGAATGGAGAATGTCAGTGGTGCAGTGGCAGTCTTGGGGGTTGAGTTGAATGGAGGTTTGTGAGGGCTGCAGGTCGGCTGCAGGTGCACCGCTGTGGAAGACCAAGAACAACACGGAAAAGCATTTCACCGATCACCGACGTCACTTGCGCTAAGCTCGACAATGGCCTTCGACTGCGAACAACAATCGAGCTCACAACAAGCATCAGTTGCTATTGTTTTCAACCCTCAAGTCTATTGTGAAGGCTGCAACTTATTGTTGACACTCAGCCATAATAGACCACGTCTCAGCCACCACGCAAACAAAATGTCGACCTTCAAGGTACGAACACCTCTCCCTCCGTCTCTCCA